AGATGAATTCATTCCTTTTGTAGAATGAATTTTCAGTGAGATTATAACACTGCAGAGGGTAAATTTCACAAATGCAATTTCTCAGGAGAAATAGGTAAGTCTCCCCTAAAAACAAACCTCTCAGGTCTCAGGAGAAATCTGCAAGTCACAAATAAACCCTAGAAAAGGTTTCTAGAGATGCTGACAGTGCTGTGCTTGACAAAAAAAATCTCTACAAAACACATACGTCAATTTAAAAACTGTGGGATGTGAGAATACTCTAGCTGCAGTTTTTCATTTGGTATCGACATGGTTGCTTGGCAAATGTATTTCAGTATCTTTAACCGTAAAAACGAACACATTAAAAATATCATTCCTGTGTCTAAATTGATATGTTGCAATTTATTCTTTGAACATGCATACTGGACCATTCCTGTTAGCATATATGAATTTTAACATTTGTTATATTATTTGTTATTGTGAACTTTAAGATGAATTGAATTTAAATTAGATTTTTGATTCTTATTGCTATGTGAGAAAAATCAGTTCACTTATGAAGTTACTATATTAAAATTAAAACAGAAAGGTCATTAGGAACCACTCCTTAGTCCTGTCCATATCCATCTCCCCACTGAAAGCTCTAAACATACCTCAACCAAATTTTCTAAATTAGGGGACACCTATCATCAAACAGAGGCTCCAATAACCTCATCTGTATCTATAAAAAGTAACATGTTCTATCTCATAATGAAAAGAGTGGACTAGAACACAATAGGAAAGAAAAAAGACAAAGATAAAAAAATCAAGAACCACGTAGGCGGCAATAGTAACCCCTCCCCCATCTTGGTGGCAGAGACCACTGGTCTCTGGTCGCCAGAAGCTCACTAAGAACTCTTCTGTGCCTACTTTTCTTGTTGAAAAATCTTTTTTAAATTCTTTAAAGTAAATGTCACTGACTAATGCACAAATCTGAGAATCTTACTCACAAGCGATGAGTCTAATCATCTATTTTTATTACACAGAATATTTCTGTATCTACATCTTAAGCAGTGCTTCTCAAACTTTCAAGTACATACTAATCGCCTGGGGTTCTGGGTCCATTCAACAGGTTTGGGGTGAGGCTCTGCAATTCTGAATTTCTAACAAACTTCCAAGTGATGCTAATGCTGCTGGACCACACTCTTAATAGCAAGGATTGTAGAAGACTAAGCAATGTACCTGCTGTACTGAACCTGTATGTTTAAGATTTGTTTCTGGAGCAGTGGTTTTCAACCCTGGCTACATAGTAGTCACCTGGGCACTGAAAACAAAACAAATACTGGGAACTTGGCAGAGTCCCCCTTGACCTAGATCAATTTTTTTTTAAATATATTTTATTGATTTTTTACAGAGAGGAAGGGAGAGTGGTAGAGAGCCAGAAACATCGATGAGAGAGAAACATCGATCAGCTGCCTCCTGCACATTCCCTACTGGGGATGTGCCCGCAACCAAGGTACATGCCCTTGACCGGAATCGAACCTGGGACCCTTGAGTCCTTAGGCCGATGCTCTATCCACTGAGCCAAACCGGTTAGGGCCAATTTTTTTTTTTAATTTTAATTTTATTTTATTTCAGAGAGGAAGGGAGAGGGAGAGAGATAGAAACATCAATGATGAGAATCATTGATCAGCTGCCTCCTGCACGCTCCCCACTGGGGACCGAGCCCGCAACACAGGCATGTGCCCTTGCCTGGAATCGAACCTGGGACCCTTCAGTCCGCAGGCCGACGCTCTATCCACTGAGCCAAACCAGCCAGGGCTAGATCAATTTTTATGAAGCTCTGAGCAACTGTCCCAGCCATTGGTATTAAAAAGTTGACTCTAATGTGGAGCCAGGTTTAAGACCTCTGCTATATAGAACTCAGAAAAATTCTAATTAAGGTACCGAGTTTATTGAAGTGTTTCTGTATATAAAGAATATACACACACTAGATGCTTATCTTGAGAGCAAAGCAAAACTATTGTCAGTTTCTATTTGCTGAAATAAAAATTCTATGGGACAACAATTTTCCCAAGATGCCTTAAAATATGTATGTATATAGCACCTCAAAGTCTTAATTTTGCCTGTGATCACAGTTCTACTCTGAACATAAATGTATGAAGTCCTTTTCCTGGGTAAAAGGAAATCTGTTGGTCATCTGGAAAAAAGGTCAGATACCAATTCAGCACTTAAAAATTACATGAGCATGTATTTGGTTTGCATAGGATGACAGCCATTCTACAGAAAGACCCTCTAAACTGACTTTTTGTAAGGAAGTTTGGTTTGATACCACTGGAAAAATGGCAAGTTATGAAATATAGAAAGCATGGTCCCTGTGTTATAACAGGAATTACATATGATGACTACGTATGCCTACGGCTAAAACTGTCATGAGTCTGATGAAAGCAGAGAGTAAGAAATAACATGATGAGAAAATGAGGTACGAGAAGAAAGATGGCTCTGAAACCTCGAGGTGGCCAACAATTATGAACCTGAAGAAGAAATAAAATCTCTATTATGGTATTTAAATATGGGCCACTGCGGATCTCTGAAGAACACGGTCTTACAGAAATCTGAAATGCTAATTTATCTTTGAAGGAAATATTATCTTTGACTTGTAAATGTTTGAAGGAGTTCCTATTTTGAATTACCTATACTGGTTTATCTTCAATTTGTGTAGCTAGTTAATTAATTCTTCAAATATTTGGGCACCTATTATATGTCAGGCGTTATTCTCGATCTTGGGAACAATATAAGGAAATTTGTGTTACTTTCCTAGACAGGTAGTCAAATCTTGATCAAATCACAGCACTCCTGCTAAAACCTCCAATAACTTTCCATTGCACTTAGCCCTTAGACTAAAATTCAAATCTTTTGTCCTTGGCAACAAGGCTCTAACATGGTTTCCCTTCTTCCATCAGAAAGTAAGTTCAATGAGAAAAGAGAAACTTGCCTGTTTTCTTTACCAATATACTCCCCCAAGATCTAGAATAACGCCTGCTATAAAATAGGTAACTACATATTTAAAGAATTATGCCCTGACCTGTTTGGCTCAGTGGATAGAGTGTCGGCATGCAGACTAAAAAGTCCCAGGTTCGATTCCAGTCAAGGGCATGTACCTTGGTTGCGGGCACATCCCCAGTAGGGGGTGTGCAGGAGGCAGCTGATCGGTGTTTCTCTCTCATCAATGTTTCTAACTCTCTATCCCTCTCCCTTCCTCTCTGTAAAAAATCAATAAAATATATATTTGAAGAATTAGCTACATTAATTGAAGACAACCCAGTATGCCTAATTCAAAATAGGAAATCTTTCAACTATTTACAAGTCAAAGATACACTCAACTTTACCTATGATTCCATTGTCTCCTTCCTATTGGTAACCTAGTTAGAAGGTAGTTGACAGGTGATGTTCATTCATGGAAAATAACTTACATGTGTACATACACATGCAATCCTAGAATCACCTGCAATTTTAATTTAAGTTAGACTATAGTCACGTTATTTTTAGATTAACATCTGCAAACTCAAGGATATCTCAATCAGTTCCTGGCTTTGTATCCCTTAGCCAAGTCACAAACTTTTCTGGTATCCCTTTAGCGTATCATAAACTAAACAGTGGCCCTTCTTCACAGACTGTTATAAGGCAAAATTAAATACTAAGCAAGATTGAATTCCTTGGAGAAATAATTATATGACTATAAAACTGTTATTTAAGTGACACTCTTAGTGATAAATTCCATGGCATTTGTCGTTTCATTCTGCTTGTCTCTGCAACAGCTTTAATTCATCATCTGGAAGTGCCTCGTCTCAGCTTCAGAGACAGAACACTATTCTGGCTCTCCTACCGGGGCCTTTCCCAGCACCATGTTCCCTTCCCATGTCTTAAATATGTACATACTTCAGCACTCCACTCTGTGGGCCAGTGTTGCTCAACATGCGGCCACTGACCATAGATTACAGCAGAATTTACCTGGGGAGCTTGTGAAAGAACAGACTCCTGGGCCATGCTGGCCCTAACAAATCCCAGAATGTCTGGGATTGGAGTCGAGGGGCTGTATGTTTCCCAAGAACTATGAATGTTGATACACTTGAAATCTATTGCCCATATGCTTAAGTTTAGAGCTTCAATCCCATCCCAGCCCGCAGAGTAGCGAAGTGTGACAGTACAGTGACAATAAAGGCCTGGTTAGAATTCTGGTTCTATCACTTACTAGCTATCAGATTATGATCTGTGGTGAGACATGAGACAATGTGTAATAGAACTTGGCAGAATGTTGGCCTGAAGGGGGTATTTGATAAATGATTCCTATTATTAATACTGTTACTTTTTATCAACATGTTTCAACTGGTTATGCATCCTCACTCAGTGCCCTCCTCAAACTGGCTTATCCTCAGGATTGTTTTTGTTGACCCAACCATTTTACTCCTTTTCCAAGCTTCAGCCTGCATCTTTTCCATCAATCAATAGGCTGCTAGATTGTGATTCATGCTTGTCTGCCTAACATCTTAATCCCACCCAACCTCCCTCCCCGATTTCACATCCTTCTCCAACTAACAAATTCTTTTGTAAGGCTTTTTATGACCATTCTAGCTTAAAGTAACCTTAAACTTCATCTATTCATTCATATACCCATATACCTGTGAAAATTCATTAGTAAACCAACTCAAATATTGTGACATCTCTCCTATAGTTGTTTTAAACTGTGAATTTTTCTCCTGATATTTAACTATTTACCTGTTTATGGTTATGTCACTTTACTTCAAGGTCAAAATCTCTTCTTACTTGCTAAGAACAATCTTGTCTGAGGTTTGAAGGAATTTTGTTATTCCTCTGCTAACAATTTAAAACTAGGTTATAATTCAAGTTATTAAGTAAAAGGGTCTTTTAACCAGGGAAGCTTAAAGGGAGTTAAGATGGGAGATAAAGGTGGTGGTCAGACAAGCCACAATCAGATATCCTATTGCAAAAAGAAAATAGATGTTATACAAGTCATAAGTACTAAATTTTTTTTTTTATGTGCCTCAGGAATGAAATAGCTCTGGCCACCGACACAGGCATCAAGCTAGGATGAACTAAGGACTGTACATCTGCTTTGCCCCTGACTGATGATATAAGAGCAACACCACCAATCAGGTGTCTCCTTGCCCATTGCCAAGGGGTTATAAGTACTAAATTTATTGCCCGAGATAAAAAACTTGGAAACAACAATATAACTTAACCTACAGAAGTGGCAATTTACAAAATCAAGGTTGATTTACCAAAGTCAGGGTAATCCCTATTTTCAATTTTAACACTCACAGCCAGGCTTCCCAACATGAGCACAAATCAATTATGAGATGTTCATGGAATTATTTCCTTTAGAGTAGAACCGTAAATTTAGATCATATGAAAGACATTGGGAAACCACACCAATATTTCAGAAGGGCGGTTTCCAATTTATAAAGCCAGAACCCTAGATCTAACAGTTGACCTAATTAATTTTTCTTTCCCAGTATAGCTGGCAATAAAACTTCTTGACTAATTTCAAAACTGTCATACTGTGGACCTTTCCATTTTGCATACAGTTTCATATACAAATAAGCAAATGCCTTGATGCAACATTTCTTCTAATTCCTGAGAGGAAGCCTGAGATCTTAGAAAGATACCAAATATGCAGAAATATGTAGAGTGTAACATAATCTTCCTCAAATCGCTATAGTAATTTAAAATACTTGTTTAATAACTGGAAAAATTACTTAATGGGCTTTCAGTATGAACTAGCCAGAGAAAGAAAATGCACTGGAAACTGACATTCCTAACAGGTATAAAAACCTTTAGACATGTAGGTAAGCGATCATTTAGCAAAGCTTTAGATGGCAGCCAATTCTTAAGCAGATGTTTAAAAACTCTTGTAAGACACATTGAGAACCTGAAAAAAACAAACAGAACACTTTCCCCCCTAAATTTCATTTAAAAAATTCTCAAATTTTATACAATTTTAAATAAATCAAGAAAACCTAAATTCTACTATACATTAAACTATTGTGCTTGTGTTAAGTTGCCAAAATCTCACACTTGATTAATGTTGGGGAGAGGAGCTGCAAGGGTTCAGAAGGCTGGGAAGACTAAATGGACCACGAAAATGATGTAATAGCCTTGTCAACATTGCCTATTCACTCCCCTAAAGTTGTAGTGGCCAAATTTTATAATTAATCTCTTTGTAGGACAAGGAGAAAAAAAAAAACTAACCATTTTGGCTAAATTATCTATCATTCCTAGTTTGATGGTACACATTTCCTCGTTGTTGTTGCTACATACTATAATTTTGTTAACTTGGAGGTTTACAGCAGGAAATTCTTCCAGCACCAGTAAATCACCACTAAGGGTGAAGGTCATGGCTAATGGAAAATGTCAAAATTTTAAAGGATATCAAGGCCCCAAATCCATAACCAAGATTTCAATGCTTTGGCTCCCACAATAATTTTGTTTTTTTAAAAAATAAAAATAGCAGAACAAAAGTTCTGGCCTGGAATTTTATAAATACAATACTTTGGTGAAGGGGAGGTAGTGCCTGAAGATTTCCAGAGAAGCATACCCCCAACATTAAAATCCCTATTAATTATAATGCATTTTGACCTCTAAAAACCCTCTTACCTGTTTACAAGAGCTTATACAGCTGTTTGCCACTGGAACACCACCTTGCAGAGTATAAGCGTGGCATCCTTTGTTGGTAATCACCTGTTGCCTAAGTAATCATCATCCCGCATGGAGACAGACAGCACTAGGCTCTTCCATCCGAGGTTAAAATTCAAAACAAGCCCAACAAGCCTGCATGTCAAGGTGGTCTTCGTCTGCAACTAGTTAAGTTTACAACTGGCAAACAACAATGGTGTCTGAAGCCAATGGTGCAGCATTGCTGGCTTCCTCTTGAACTCCAGCGTTGTCACTGTGCACCGAAGTCTCCTGCTGCAAACAGGGGAGTTGTTCTCCTGTACTGGGAACAGCTTCCAAAGCTCAGGACCCCCTGTGCAGGATAATGCAGGAACTAAAGGCAAACACTTTTCCTTCTTAAGGATGCCTCCATTTTTTCCTCACCATCTGTACTACCAACCGAGGTGTCTGGGCCTGAGTGTGCGTTCGTACCTATGAAACCGTCACGGTGCATGCACATCCAAGGCATGTGGAACCACAGGTCAAATAAGGCACAGATACCAAGTAACGGTTCTAATTACAAACGCTAGCTCTCAGGAACTCTTCATCCATTCAGAACTAAACCCATCACTGCATACCTCTGGTGAGAAGCCCCTGGAGACGGAGGAGCTCCTCAAATGTGTCAGGAAAGGCTTTATTAACATCATCATTAACATTTAAAAAGCAAACGGAGCATTCTCCTTCTTTTGGCAATTTGGTGCAAATGTTAAGTGCAAGATAAAGCAATTGCAAACTTTTCTTCAAATTAAAAATGAAACTAAGGCCAAACGTGACAGGTGAACAAAATAAATCAAAACTTAAATTTCAGCAACTCCGGCTCTTCAAACCAGCAAAGCCCCCGACTCGTGCACTGTGGTGAGGCTTACGGTGCTTGCCCCGGCTTCTTTCGTGCCAGCCAACAGCACCATTTCCTCATCAAGTTGAGGACCGAGAAGCAAATGATCCCCTTCGCTGCAAACAAAGGGGGGTCACAGTAACACTAGTGATCCTTCAGAATTGACACACCGCGATAAGTCAAAGTGATGGTCTCCCTGCTTCTTGCTCAAGACATACAAGATCTGAGCAGCAGCAAGTAACGCCTCAGCTGCAAACAAAGGGGTCAAAGGTTTGCCGTCAATTCACTTCCAGGCAGAAAAACATTTTCCTCAAAAGAAACAATTTATTTAGAATAAAACAAAAGCAGCTCAACTGTGAGCGCACGTTTGAGTGACAGCTACTTTTAAGCTGTGTGAGCCATAAAAAGGGTTTTTCTTTACTTTTCCAGAAATCTTGTGTACACAGCACAAAGCAAGAGGTCATTTTTTTCCACTTAAAACACCGGCATTGGCATCACAATAGCAGATACACAACTTTAAGCTGCCATTTTAGTAAAATGCACAAATACTAAACAGATTAGCTTTCTTCCATCAAGAGGCCCATGTAAACTCCACATAAGCCACAACTTCTCTTCGAAAAGGTCCATTAGAGCTTTGATTTCCGTATCTTCATCCACTGTTCACCAGCTTTGCTTGCAGGAGGGAAAAAAAGGTTATTCAGTAAAAATGTTTACAATATTAAAAATATATATTTTTTCCCTATGCCATCATAGATGAACACATCGTTAACAAGCCCTTCCTGGATAGTCCACCTTGACCTCAAAAAGCACCAATAATACCCATTGGCACAAACCTTGAAACGAATTTACTGTATGTATGAACAGACAAATAACAAGTAGAATAGGGTGGATTTTTTTTGAAAGACTGCAATTAAGTGAGGATTATAGGACTGAAAATATCCTTTATACTCATGTAACCGAGTAAAACATACTGAAAAAAATTTCAGAAGACAGTAAGTTTATAATCAACCTATAATCAATATATTCTACATATAACTTAAAAAATGAAACTGTAAAAAGGTGAAATTTAGTTAAACTTTTACCCCCTCTATTTTCATTCTGTAATTTATATGGAGCAATACAGAACTGCTCCGTTATTACAGAAAGGGGTCAAGATACAAAACCATTTAAAAATCCACCTTCATCTGTGTTACCAAAGACAGCAACTGTTACTTTAAGAAAACACTCAACATAAACCCATTGCTAAACAGCCAAGAACACTTTAGGACTTTTACTTTTCAGTGCTGTTTAAATCACACACATAAAACTTTTTATTAAGATGGACAGCTCACTGTGGTGACCTAAAATCATTTTCTCCCCTTAGTGACATCACTATTACCAGAATGTTAACAGGGTCACATCCAACCGTCTCCTCTGCTTGTTCTAATACCTAACTTCTGTCTATCTCAAAACCATGCACTGTGGCAGAGACAGAAAAAAATGTCCAGAAATTTTCTCCAAAATTTTTTTTCACATGGAAAGTCATAAAGGCCCTCTTCTCAAGAGGATTTCCTAATTCTGTTACCACAGAGTTTTTGGTGAATGGTTCCAAACTGCAATTCAAGCTCTACCTATATAATGAGCAATTTCACTATCTAAAAATAGTGGATTTAAAATAAAATAAAAAGGTAATGTCAGTGAAAACCTGCTCATAAGTTTTAAAATAAACCTAGTGTTTGACTCTGAAAGCAACGAACACACACCTTACTTTTACTCCTGTACCTCAAATGATCTAGTTAAGAAGGGCCAGAATATATTACCTTCAAAATGTGTCAAAAACTTATACAAGCGAGAGGATGGACATTTTAAGATGTAATCCTTAAAGGGAAGTCTATGCTCAGTTAAGAGTTAAAGTATACATCTTAAACCAGGAATTTAATTTTTTGTGTGGAAAACTCTTTCTACTAGTAAGAATCCCAGTTACAACCAACAAAATATTATAAAACTGGCTAGGAGCTGAAGGCTTAATTTCCCATAAACTTTGAAGTGGTGATCCAAAAGTCTTAATTAGCTTGATGTTTTCACCAGTAATACTTAATAAGTCATTAACTGATACACTGAAGAAATTTTCTTTCCATTCATTTGAACCGAATTCCAGAAACATCAACTAAACAAGTATTTTTTTAAAGTATAAGAAATAGAAAAAAATTGGTTGTTACAAAGAACACCCAATGCTGAAATAATGAAATTCTGACCAATCAGCATCAGACCAGACAGTTTTAGACTTTTGCTTTCATTCCATTCTGAAGATTTAAGTCAATAGTTCACCAATATTATAAAACTGCACGAGAATGGGCATCACAAATAAGAGATTCATCTGAATGATGGCACTCTGTAGGTAAGCACCAAACAAAACATAATTAGGTATTTACAATACATACGTTTAGAAATGATATCAAGCCATTGTTCCTAAAACATTGAAGCACAAATTTCCCAGATTTAACAAAAGCTGCAATGTCAAGTAAAAATTCACACAAACATGGAGCAAGCACACACACAAAAAAAAAAAAGAGAGAGAGAGAGAGAGAGAGAGAGAGAGAGAGAGAGAAAGCACACACTTTGGATTATCATAAAATTAGATGTCATGGACTTCACTCCCTAAAGGAGCAAAATTATTTGTCCAGCCATCTTATCACAAGATATTCAAAAGTTAATGGTTAGTGAGATTTAAACTGGAAAAATGTATCTAGCCAAACTGTACTTTGACCCCATGTATGCACAGACTGCACACTTGCATTAGTTTCTGAACAGGTGTCTATGCCGTATTACCTTGCTACACTTGGCCTTTTAAAAAGCAAAAAGCAGCCCAGCAGGCGTGGCTCAGTGGTTGAGTGCCGACCTCCTATGAACCAAGAGGTCACGGTCTGATTCCCCTATCAGGGCATGTTCCTGGTCAGGGTGCATGCCCAGGGTAGCAGGGTGGGTTCCCGGTGGTGGACATGCAGGAGGCAGGCAATCAATGATTCTCTCTCAACACTGATGTTTTTTCCTCTCTCTCTCCCTCCCTCTCTGAAATCAATACAAATATATTATTAAAAAAAAAAAAGCAAAAAGCATCCAAAGCTTTAATTGTAGGGCTTTGGGTATTTTCCCTACTAACCAAGGGTGTTTGTGTTCATAGCCTAGTACTTTCCTTCCCTCAAAATGACTAGTTTTTCCAGTTTAAAAACAAAAAAAAAAATCTCTAAACCTAAAAAGAATATTTATGAATGCATAATGAAAACCAAACAAAACAAAAGACACAGCAGTGGTGAGGCTTTCATGCTGACATGCATTAGAGACCTGTCATAATGAAAAATAAAAAATTACATGACACTTCCCTGGGTTATTATTGGTGCTATTTTAAACTACCAGCTTTGATAACAGAAAGAAAACAGTTGGGTTCTGCCAGGCTTTCAATAAGTCACTTTCACAGAATAGAAACATGACCATGATCCAAAAGGTCCTAAAGTTTCTAATCATAATTAAATATCCAGGGCCTTAGCCAAAGTCCTCAGCATTTAAATTGGGGGCAGTGTGTATGTGTGTGGGGGGGAGATTTGGGGAGTGGGGGAGTGGGTATACTAATGACCTGAGAAACTAGACTTGGGGGCTAAGGAATAGATTAAAAAAAAAAAAAAAAAGGCCTCAAAAATCATCCATTACTGTTAAGCAGCAAAAGCCCTTGTTAAGAACCAGAAGTCAATATAATCTTCAGCTTTGGGGAAAAAAAACCGTGAGTGTGGGTTATTTTGAATTAATTCCAGATGTCTGGAAAAATAAAACAATAAAAAAGGGTTTTCCTTACACTGACATTTTAATTCTCTGTGGTTGGACACCAGTGCAAATATTAAGCCCAAGATTTCAAAGATAGTCCAAACATTTTCCATAATGTAATGTCATCGCTACTGTTTAAATATGAAAAGAATACAAGCAAAATTTTAAGAGCATGTCAAAGGCATTTCAGGATGACTTTAAAAAATTCTGCAATCTAGACATGGCTGATTAATGCCCACAGAAACAAAAAATGACTTATGAGCCTGCAGACAACTCTTCTTTCTATTACTGAAATCAGGAATTTGAATGAATACAAAAACAAAAACTCATCTTTGATGAAAAACACTTGAGTTTTGAAATATGCACAATTAGAAATGTACCTGCTACACCTCTCTAAAAAAATCAGTAAAAACAACCCACACACCAATAACTGACCAAAGAATTCTGAGTTTAAAAGCACCTACTCACTTGCATACTAGTATAAGCATAAGACATATGGTTTGTAACATACTCCTCAATTTTTACTGAACAGTTACAGCTACAAACCAAAAGTGCATATACGGGATACAGAACTCAAGAATTAATGATAAAAATGCATTATGTTAAAGCAAACTCTCTGGGAATAAACCGTATATTTTAAGAGAAATACTCAAATACCTGATTAAAACAATTACATAGCTATACAATTTACCAGCTTATACTTTTTGAGGTCCCTGATCAAAATTTTTCATACAAATAATATTTCTGGTACAGAAATTATTTACCTACATACCAATCAAGCCATTTTTAGGTGTATATCTTTATATAATCAATGGGCTTTTTCCTCCAGATTTTGACTTCAGAATTTTGGTTTTGTAACTTTGAGGATTTTTTTTTTAAGCTCAAGGTTAAAAAAGAAAAAAAACCAAAGAGGAGGAAAAACGTTACTCATAAGAGTGGGAACTGCTAATTAAAGTAAATCCATCTGCCTGCTACCTTCAGGGCATTGCTTTCACTTAATAACTAAACTATCCTGACTTCTATAAGGTTTATAAAAATATAAAAAAGAAAAAGGCTACAACTAAACAACTAATTAAAAAGAAAATTTCACCTAATGCTGTATCCCATTATACATCACAAAACAGGAACCATGTCAAAGTAGTAAATACAAGTTACACATGGACTTTAGGACGCACCACGGACAATGATCATGACCAGGTAATCTTCTTCAGATTTGGCCAGTGCCTTGGCAGGAGAATCCAGGAACTGCTGGGAGAACTCACAGGGTGGGAAGGCATGAAGGACCCCGGTGTTTTCCTTGTCTTTGTTGCCCCCCACGGGGAGGCTGATCACCCCAGCAGCCTGCTTTTGCTTTAAATAGGACACCAGGTTCCTTAGTGGCCTCTGAGTAGAGGTGGCAGTATCTGATGTGGCGGAGGAAGAGGATCTGCCGTCAGAACTTCCAGGCACAGCCAGAAGAATGGCATAACCATTGGGCCCTGCCACTTTGATGCGTCGAGTTACTTCATCCAACTTGGGCTGGTCCAAACGAAGACGCTGAGTGATCTTGAGCTGGGCAACTTTGCCTCCACTGGAGCCCTCCACGAGAAGACTACTAGCCACTTGGAGGTCGCCCTGCAACAGATGCATGTTGGAAGGAAAGTTGCTGTTCTTCAATAGAAGCATGCCCTGCCAGGCCAAACAGAGCTTGGGAGAGGCGGCTGCAGCAGGGGCTGTCCCACCATCCTGTTTCTGGGAAGGGGTCTTCAGCTTTGAAGAAACAGTGCTGGTGCTGGCTGCACTCCCATCAGACCGGTCTTCTTTTTTCAGAGGGCTTTTTCCCTCAGTGGGAGCAGCTGTCCGATGCTTCCTATCACGTTCAACTGATGCAGAGTTTTTGCGGTCTCGCTTGTCACCCTGGCTTTTCTCCAAACTACCTCGTCTGTCTTTGATTGGAGAGGGCCTTTCCAAGAGAAGAAGACGAGAAGATCGATCATTGTCACTGTTGTAGCGATCCCTGCTACTGCTCAAGTCTGGACTGCGATCAGGAGAAGGAACGCAGTGACGTTTCCGAGGACGGTCGCTCTCAGGGGACCTATCCAGATGCCGTCCCCCACTGTCCTCAGGCAGCCTTCGCTTCCTGGGCTGGTCTCTGCTGCTGGGCAGATCTCGATCACCTCTGTCCCGGTCCAAGGACCAGCCATCCCGCCTGCGATCCAGGCTATCCAGTGGCTCATAAGCAGGCACAGAAGTAGGGGCAGTCCGAGTGCTGCGTTCCCGGACTGGGGGCGGGGGTGGCACCCAATCAGAGTCAGTATAAAGGTCCCGATCACAATCTCTGTATAGTAAGGGTGGTGTCCTATCCCTCGCACCCCTCAAAGGGTCAGGTGCCCGATGTCCAAAAGCATCTGTCACCAAGTCATAATGAGTTAAGGGCAGAGGCTGCAGATACTGCTGGTGGTACCGATGTTCTGTGTCTGCAAAGTCTACTCTAAGGCGGCGATCTGGACCACCAAGTGGAAAGCCCCGCATATGGGTCCAGGCAGCATGAGCGGCATCTAGGCTTTCATACTGGATATAGGCCCAACTATCACCTTTGCGATAGTCTATGGTGCGTATGGTGCCAAACCGGTCAAATTCTCGTGCCAGGGCAGCAAGAGGCACCCAAGGTCCCAGGCCACCTACCCAGAGGCGGGTGGTGGGTGTAGCTTTACCATAACCAATTTTGATAGGATTCCGAATAATAATCTTGCCAGACATTGCCACTTTGGCTCGGTGAGACATGTCTAGGTTCTCAAATTTGAGAAAGCCATAGGTACTGGTCTGGCCCCGAGAAGGCCTCTTAATGTCTACTTCTGTGATGACTCCAAAGCGATCAAAAGCCCTCCTTAGATCGCTCTCGGTCACCGTGATGTCCAGGTTGCCCAGGAAAAGCGTCCTGTTAGCTCGCTGATCATCCTCCGGTGAGATCTCATCCACTTCTCTGAAAGGAGCAGCACCTGCTCCAGCTCCCACCCGGGGCTCGAGGTTGTATGCCGGGCGCACTCGCTCATAGAACGGGTAGTCCCGCTCCCTCTCCAGGTCCCGGGGCAAGGGTGGCGGCGGCGGAGGGGGCAGGCGGCCAAGGGCCAGCTGCTGCAATCGGTAGTCTCTGTATCCCAAGGCCGCCCCGCCGGGGGACAGGGATCTCTGGCCTCCACCCCCTCCGCCCGGGGCGTGCCGGTGACCGCCGACCGAGGCCCCGACCACGCTGGACGACGGCGGGTAAGAATCCTTGTCCAGGGGGGAGCGGCTGCGGCGCCGGCTCACGTACACGGCTTCTATCTTCAGGGGCCGGTCATAGAGCACCAGGCGGCCTCTGGCATGCTTGGCCGCCCGCGCGTCCTCTGACCGCCGGAAGTTCACAAAGGCGACGCGCTCGTCCCCGCCGCCAGAACCCGAGAGATGGCTGATTTTGACACTCACATCACCGAAGCGTTTGAACTCGTGGAACAGCCCGTCCTCCACCGCTTCGTCACTCAGCTGGGACCCCAGCTCGCTGATCTTCAGGGTCTTGTACTCCCCGCCGTCAGCAGCGGAGGAGGCGGCCCCCGAGGAACGTGACTCCCCGCCTCCACCTCGGGAGCTGCTGCGCGACTCGCCCCCGCCCGAGGAATTTTTAGCGCTCGGGGAGCTGTAACTGTGCAAGCGGCTACTGGAGCTGCCCCCTCCGGTGTCATACTCGCGGCTGCCGCCTCGGCTGCTGGACTTGTCGAGATGGAGGCTGCGCCGCGACCCGCCGCCGTCGGTCTTACCGCTGCTGCTCCCATTGCTGCCGCCAGAGCCCCCTAACTTCTTGCTCCGCTCCCCACGAGAAGTCGAATCCTCACCACCACGGGAGCGCTTGGATTTGACTGGAGAGCGCTCTTTCCCCTTCATTGCTGCGGGTCGTCGGAGGTCGTCTCCGCGGAGCTGATGAACCCGCCGCCCCGCGCTGGTTTCACACAGCGGAACCGCATGCCGCCATCTTGGGCTCCGCCGCTGCAAAGGATCCCGCCCCGCCGCCTCCATTGGCCAAGTAGCTCCCCTCTTCTACAGCCTCATTGGGAAAACTACTTGTCTGTCTTTACATCTCCCCGCGCTCCGGGAAGGCGCCCGCCCGGCCACTGTTATTGGGTTCCCAACGCCTCAGTCGGAGTACCTCATTGGCTACATTCATTGTCCATCTTAACGGTTCCTCGCGCCAGGCTGTAGCTCCGCCCCTCGCACTCTGTGGTCACCTGAGCCAAAGTCTGGAGGCGTTGATTGGACAAGAAGTGTGCCCTGTAACGGTACTTCTGGCTCCGGAAAGCAATGATCCCACCTCCTCATCCCTTTTATTGGTTTTCGACCCCGTCCTTTAATCCACTACTTGGAAGGTCGGGCCATCTTTTCTGGCGTTTTTTTCCCCTCAGAGGCCGCCTCACAGCGATCTCCCGCGAGAGAGCTCTCCCTCTTTCGACCCCTTTTTCCAACTCCTTTGGCGGCTGAGAGAAGTTTAAATCTGATTGGATGGTTCTGGGGACGTTGAATGGCTGAAATAACTGTCAATCACTCGCTTAAAGGGGTAGGCCCACGTACTGAGGGAGGGGACTGAAGGTGAAAGAGTGGAACACGCGAGTGCTGTGCGACGTCACTGAGACGTCGCGAGATGGTGATCAGAATCCCGCCCCGCCTCTCCGGGCTTCGGGCGTTCTGCCGGCAAACACCGGTTCCGTCGGGCAGCGTACTCGGCTGTGCTTCGGCCGTGGGGGCGCGGGACTTCTGGGCTCCCCACTTCCTACCTCCGGCTGCCGGGCCCGCAAGTCCTTCTGGAGGCCGCCCCCGGGGCGCCCAGCGGACACCATCTTAGTCCCTCTGGCCTCTGTGAGCAGCCAGGGAAAGCCCCACTCGCCATGCGCGCGAGAGCGCAGCCCCTGGAGCCCGCGGGGCAGGCCGCCGGGCGTTCGCCGGGCACCGGCCCCGGGTGACGCTAACGCCCGGGCGGGGCCGAGGTCGGCGCGGCTCCGGGCCCCGCAGCCGAGAAGCTGCGCGGCAGGGACGGGTCCTCGCCCGGAGCCCGGCGCGCCCAGTTCCCGCCCCGGTGCCCCGGTAACCGCGGGGAGTGGCGGACGCCGTCGGCGGGCGTGGCTCTGGGCTTCCTGTTTTACGTTCCGAGTTCACGGGGACCTGGGGTTTTGTAGCTCCGGAACAGAGCTGTTAGTTTTTTTATTGTCCCCCTCCCGCTAAATAATCGAGTGAAACCGACGCGCCATGTGGCTGTGTCACCTGTTTTCCCCCCGGGGCTTTTTTTTTTTTCTGCGCGCGCGCGCACACACAGTGCACACACCGCCCCGGGGCTTTTTGCACATCCCGCTCACCCCGCTGTTATTTAGAATCCGGTGGCATCATCACCCTGCCGTCTGTAAATCCACCTCTTTGGGCGCCCTCGGTCAGTATGCGCTTCAAACCCCAACTTTCGTTCTTTCCAGGGACCTTGATTGTGTCAGACAGCAGAGCACCTGTGCGAGGTGCTGGAGACGCGGAGATCAGAGATCAGGCGCAGCCTCTGTCCTGCCGCTCACCCTCCGGCGAAGGGTGGTGGCCCTGAGGTCATCACAGCCTCGGGCTTTCTGCAGTCCCGCCGGGTGTCCTGCGGGCAAGCTCTGAGGATTCTTGTCCTGATCTCTCCGGCCACACCTCGCAGGGTCCAGTGTGGAGTGAAGAATGTCAGATGTTTTTAAACACGACCTTCCTCAAGGTAGCAGTAATGTCCCCCAGACTGAAACCTAAACTTGAAAACTCCTAGGATTAGGGACTGCAAGTCCTCCTTAGCCATGCTTCTCTTTCTAAATAATCTTGAGGAAGGTGAAGATGTGGGCCTTCTGTTTTCATTAGCGCAAAGAAGCTTGAAAGAAGCCCAATATATAAAAGCATAAAAATTCATAGTGTTGTATATAGTACATACACATAACTCGTTGTAGGAAAAGTAGCTGTTAAAACTGTATAAGGCATAGAACAAAGTATAGTATGCTACCATTTGCAAGTATGTGCATATATTTTTATATATTCATAGAAACTTCATTGAGAATCAGGAAGTTGTTCCAAGAACATGCTGAAGAGGGGGCACCTCCTGTCTGGGTGGGAGAGAGACTCAACTTTTCATTGCATACCTCTATGTATTATTAAGATGAAACTGGTTTTACCATGTGCATGCTGTTACTCTTTCATCTTTTTAATAGAAATTAACTTTAGCTTTCCTTAAAAAAGTTTTTATGGTCTAGCCAGTTTGGCTCAATGGATGGAGCGCTGGCCTGCAGACTGAGGGGTCCTGGGTTCGATTCCGGTCAAAGGGCACATGCCCGGGTTGTGGGCTTGATCCCCAGTGTGGGGCGTGCGGGAGGCAGCTGAACGATGACTTTCTCTCATCATTGATGTTTCTGTCTCTCTCCATCTCCCTTACTCTCTCTGAAATTAATAAAAAATATATTTTAAAAAAGTTTTTATGGAAAAACTAAAAAATATACAAATGTAGAATACTCTAAAGAACTCCTATGTGCCACCCAATTTCAACATTACCTCATCAACCTTAATTCATCTATACTCTCTTCCCAGTCTTGCCCCTCTTGATTATTTTGGTGCAGGTTTATCTGATATATTTTCTGCCCCAGATATGGAATCAGGCATTTCTCCAAGGAGTTCTGGTTTCTTTTCGTGGGAAATGATATTTAAAGATAAAAATCTGGATGCTAGAGGATAAAGAACCAACAACGACCGATATATTATTTCTAAAAGCACAGAACATTCAGGAAAAATACATAGGAGGTTTTAATCTATTTCAACATTATATTAATACAACATGAAACTGAACTGAAGCCATTATCTGATTAGTTAAGGTAATAGCCAATGCAAATAAACCAGGCTCCAGAGTGACTACTTTTGGCCTAAATGACCTGCTTAGATGACTCACTGATGGAAGAAAAAGATAATGACCAGATCAGTACACATTCCCAAATCTCATGATAGGAGTGAGGGAGCCAAGGAGGGAATTCAGGGAGCTGCTACCAGTACGTGTGGCAGAGCCTTAGTGTCTGCTAGCTTAGTGGCTTGCCATTTGAAACTCCAGTGAGCTTGACGGGCTATTGCCCATGTCTGGCTGCAGCAGGAAGGCTTGCCTAAGGAGACTGATAACTGGTGTCAAGAGGACTGGTAAGTTCAATGGGTAAATAGGAAAGGCCTGGATGCCATTCTCAGTAACAGCTGAAATGCAGCCTGTGCCATGCGTGTGTCCATGACAGAACTGAATAATGGCATATGTTGATGCATACTGTAGTCAAAATAGTAAAAATTTTTGAGTTCCTTTGTGTTCTTTAAAGTACAACCCTCCCTAGTAAGGTTGAATCAGCCTGTTTTCACACATGTGCATTAGAGCTGAGGAGGAAAGTGACCCATGGTTTAGGGGGCCAGGACTTTGAACCCCTTTACTGGTGTTGGTGATGGAGTTGTTGAGATCCAGTCCAAATTTTCACCTGATCTCCTTGTGATCTCTGCCAGATTTGTGAGGGCAGCTGACCCGGGCAAGGAAGATCTTTTAGCGGCCATAAAACCAGAGTTAGGCTACCAACAGATTCCCTGAGCATCAGAGCAGCATGTTGATCGCCTCCTAGTGACTCGTCAAAAACCAAGTGTGTTGAGGAAAAGCTGCCATCACTCATTTTGGGGTCAGTGCTGGCCCCTTGGAGCTGTACAACTCAAAGGCCCTAGAGGACGCGGCCCAGCAGGAGAGTGGCCACAACTAGCTTTCTATAGAAAGTGCTTTCTCACCTGGCTAGTGTGGCTCAATGGTTGAGTTTCGATCTATGAACCAGAAGGTCAGGGTTTGATTTCCTGGTCAGGGTGCATACCCAGGATTATGGGCTCAATCCCCAGTTGGGGATGTGCAGGAGGCAGCCGACCAATGATTCTCTCTCATCATTGATGTTTCTATCTATCCCTCTCCCTTCCTCTCTCAAGTCAATAAAAATATTTAAAATAAATAAAGTGCTTTCTCTATCTTCTTTAAATGTTTTGAATTGAAAAGGAAAAAGCAAAAATAAAAGTTAGGCACACGGAAGAAAACTGTACAATTAAAGGATGTATCAGTATGCTTTCAATGAAATGTCTTCTTTCCACTCTCTTCCTTCCTAGGCTTTATTGTTTGTGTATCCTCAATGCACATATAGACATTTAATTGCAACAGCAAATGTATCTTGGGAGCTGAGAGCTATTCAATTTCCTGGCAGATACAAAATGGCCTGAAGCTGGGAATTGAAAAAAAATGTCCCACCAATAGGATTAAAATGTCCCATTCTGTCATAAAATGAATGGTCTCCTGACACTCAGGTTTGTTTGTTTGATCTGCAAAAAAAGTGTATATTTTACTCACAGGCATATAATAAATCCCTAAAATAGCCAACAATCATTTAGGACCCAGTTTGCATTATAAAGACACTTATTTGTGGTTTGTGGAGTTTTTTAACAGCCTTATTAAGCTATAATTTACATACCATAAAGTTCACCCAGTTAAAGTGTACAATTCAGTGGTTTTTAGTATGTACGTCAGAGCTATGCATGTGGTTCATCCTTTAATATTATTACAGAAAGCACTGTGCTATAACTTCTCCTAGGTGACTAAGATCTAACATAATTATCTCTTTCATTTATCCAGACATCTTAAAGGGCAGTGGTTAAGGGCATGGACTCTGGACCAGCCAGCCTAGATTTAAATCCAGTTCTGCTGGGGGCCTCTACTGTTAATCTCTCTGGGCCTTGATTTGCTTGTTTGTAAAATGGGGAAAATCCGCCTGGCCAGAGTGGCTCAGTTGGCTGATCGTTATCCTGTGCACCAAAAGGTTGCCATTTTGATTTCTGATCAGGGCACATACCTGGGTTGCAGGTTCGATCCTGGCTGGGACATGTGCTCAGGGCACATACCAAAGGCAACTGATGGATGTTTCTTTCTCTTTGTCTCTCTCCCTTCCTCTGAGCATGTCCTATAGTGAGGATTAAAACAACAACGGTAAAAATCACAGAATCTCTTCATGGGGCGTGGGGAATTAAATGGGATAAAACCTACACAGAGCTTAGAACAGTGCCTGGTACACGGTAAGCACAGAATGGGCCTCCCACCCGGGCCTGTAATTCTATGTTGGTGACTTTTTCAATGAGGCACTTAAGTCTGCAAGGTGGGGACAGAACGCAGGTCCACTGGCTGCTGCTGTGGGGCTTTCCACGGTATCTCCTATGAACCCGGGAGCTGGAAATAACATGGTAGCAGCAGCAGCCCCACCTTCCCACAAGTAGAAATCCGAACAACACATTGTGTTAAATAATCCATTTATCAATAGATAATAAAAATAAAAGCCAGTCTTTACTAAACACATACTACAAACCAGGCACTCTGCTAAAACTTTCCTCATTAGCTTATTTTACCCTCACAACAACCCCAGGGGGTATATAGGCTTATAATATCTCTCTCTCTCTCTCTCTCTCTCTCTCTCTCTTTTTAGATAAGAATATGTGTACACTAAAATACTGTTTTGTTTTGCTTTTTAAAAAAATATTTTTGATTTCAGAGAGGAAGGGAGAAGGAGGGAGAGAGAGAGAGAGAAACATCAATGATGAGAATCATTGATCACCCCCTGCACACCCCTACTGGGGATCGAGCCTGGGCATGTGCCCTGACCATGACCTCCTGGTTCACAGGTCGATGCTCAACCATTAAGTCACTGCAACCCGGCTTGTTTTGCCTTTTCCAGTCTGTGAAAAGCATTTGATTTGAAGTCATCCTTACATATTATGGGTGACACTGCCTGTTGCCTAATCAATATCCATCCCCCCCTCCTTTGTTGTGATCAGGTACAGTACTGTGATGGGGGAAATTTTAGAATACGTGGTCTAAACAATTTCTTAGGTCAGGAATAGAAGCTGCCCCATTAACTGAAGAATTGACTCTACTCAGCACAGTTCGTAGCAGGATAAATGCTGGCTCCAAGAACGAATGGAGAAAGTATCTGAGGTGATGATACCTCCGCTAGTGGCCCCATCTTTTCATCGAAAGAGTAACTGTATGGTCAAACTTCAAATTCAAGTGTGAGGAGAAGGTGTTAAGCTTGCCAGCGAATGCGTGGGCATTTTAATTTGCTAATTAGTGCATTAGTGGCATAATAAACCACAGGGTTCAAAGGATCTCTCTCAGTAACTCGATTTAAAGAGGCACCCCCAACATTCCATGGGTCAGTAAATACCGATCTTCACTTATTGGTTTTGTGATAAATATTTTGTCAATGGCTAGGGTTTCACGTGAACTTTCTTTTTGTCAACTCCAATGTTTTCTTCCGCCCACCCCCAGGGCTCACCCTCCTCGATCTTTCGGTGTCTTTTCCACAGGGTTCAGCAACCGCTCCTTCTCGAAATTCTCTCTGCCCTTGTCTCTGTGCTCTGCACCTTCAATTCAATTGCATTTCAACCAATATTTATTGATCATCTGTGATGTGCCAGACCCTGGGCTATCATCATTCGTTTATGAACTCATTCATCAACACTCATTGAGTTCCCACTGATGGGCACGGTGCCAGTGACGGAAGCAAAGATGAACAAGATAGAATCCCTGACCTAAGACGCTGCGTGGTCTAAGAAGGAGACAACTAACATCTCACGGAATGACGAGGTTTCCGTGGAAGCACAAACTCAGGGGCTGGGGCCCTCAGACAAGGAACCAATTGCTTCTCTCTGGAAGGGGCATGCATTGCATAGCCCAGTGCCTGGCACGTGCTAAATTTCAATCAATATTTGTCAAAAGAACAAAAAGCCCTCCAGGCAGACAGACTAGCATGACTAGGGAATGTTCAGGCAGCCCTGCTGGCTGAAGTCATGGTGTTCAACTCAGCAGGGCGGAGATCAGGTTCTCTGGGGGCGTGGAAGGGGCAGTGATGGGGATAATGTTTATCTGAAAGAGTAATTTTTTCCCTCCTGTTACTATTTAATTTATAAATGTTATGCACATGCATATTTAAAAAGCACATTACATTAATTATTCATTAGCAACTTTAGTTTTATACATTTATTTATCAAGAATGAGAATAACATGATTGTTTTTATAATACAAATTACAGGAATTCAAGCTCAAACTAGGAAAGCTGGTAGATAAATAGAGAGGGTGCGTGGGTTCCGCAGCAAAGCCACCGTCCTCTTGAGGGGAGTGGTGAGATTTTTACGTTTAACAAGAGGG